CCCCATGCACTACATGGAATACGGTCTCAACATGAAATGGCTGGCGGTGTTTTTTGCCATCGCCACGGTCATCAGCAGCTTCGGCAGCGGCAACCTGCCCCAGGCGAACAACATGGCTTCTGGCTTGATGACATCATTTGCTATTCCAACCTGGCTCAGCGGCGCCGTATTAGCCGTCCTGTTAGGTCTGGTCATTGTTGGCGGCATTCGGCGCATCGCGGTAGTTGCCGCCACCCTGGTGCCGTTCATGGGCATTCTCTATGCATTTGGTGCGCTCGCGGTTGTGCTGTCGAACTATGAAAATGTTCTACCCGCACTGGCATCTGTTGTGAGTGATGCGTTTACCGGCTCAGCTGCAACCGGCGGTTTTCTCGGCGCAAGTTTTGCCTATGCGTTTAACCGGGGTGTAAACCGCGGACTGTATTCAAACGAAGCGGGGCAGGGGTCTGCTCCTATTGCCCATGCCTCCGCCAAGACCCGAGAACCTGTCTCCGAAGGCATGGTGTCGATTCTGGAACCTTTTATCGACACATTGATCATCTGCACCTTAACTGGTTTGGTTATTCTGTCCTCCGGGGTGTGGCAACAGAAATTCGAAACGCCGTTTGCGGAGTTTGATACGCACATCATTGCCGGCACCTACAGCGACCAGAACCCGGAACATGTCAGCCAGCTTTTTGCTCACCTGGATTTATCACCGCCGGCAAACGACCCGGTTAAAGCGTTCAGCGGTGAACTGGAAGTCATCAACGGCGTAATACAGGGAAATGCTGCAACTATCCTGCACAATCGTTCAATAGCCGAAGAGGTTATCGTTTACGCCGACAACACTCTTTACAGCGGCACGCTGCAGGTGGCAGAGGGCAGCATGGTTACCGATAACCTGTTGCTACAGGGTAAATCCCTTTTACACTCGGTTCCGCTCACCGCGCAGGCTTTTCAGGCCAGCTTCCTCGGCATATTTGGTGAATACGTCGTCACCATTGGCCTGGTTATGTTTGCTTTTTCAACAGCGCTGGCGTGGTCGTACTACGGCGATCGCGCTGTCACCTACCTGGTGGGTTCGCGTTGGGTTACACCTTATCGTCTGCTCTACGTTGTGGGTTTTTTCCTGGCAACCGTTGCGGACACGAGCCTGGTTTGGCTTATATCAGCAATCACCGTTGCACTGATGACGCTACCCAACCTGATTGGCATTTTCCTGATGCGCAAAGAAGTGAAAAATATGGCTGCGGAATACTGGCAAAAACAGAAACCCTAACGCAGCAGATTTAATGCATTAGTTGTCAGGCAGCTTTCGCACAACACATAGCTGTTGGTCGGATCATCAAACTGAGCCAGTATCGTTAAACCCTGCTGCAATTGAGCCAGCGGATTTGCCTTTGTCACCTTCAGCTGGGTTTCAGGCATCATCAGCTCCGCCAGAAATGCAGCCCGCGGATCGATCGGCGGCTGCAGCCGGATCGGCTCCCAATTATCTATACCAGCAAGCTCGGCTGCTTTCTCCTGCGCCGTACGGAGGCCACCCAGATCATCAACCAGACCTAACTGCTTGGCGGTTTCACCTGTCCATACACGTCCCTGAGCGACAGCATCAACCTGATCCAGACTCATATCCCGGCCCCGCGCAACCAGGGCTAAAAACTGCGCATAACCGTGCTCAACCTGAGCCTGCAGGATATCCGACATCGGCTGATTAATGCCGGTGAAAGGGTTTAGACCCATGGTGATTTCTGTTGTGCCCACACCATCGGTGTGCACCCCATACCTCTCCAGGGTCTCTTCAAAGGTGGCGATGTAACTGAAAATTCCGATGGACCCGGTAATAGAGGTTGGCTCGGCCACAATCGCATCCGACGTTGCGGATATCCAATACCCACCTGACGCCGCGCTGGCACCAAAAGACGCCACAACCGGCTTGCCCGCCAGCTGTAACAGCTCCAACTCCTGCCGGATCAACTCCGAGGCAAACTGGCTGCCGCCTGGAGAGTCTACCCTTAGCACAACGGCTTTCACGGCGTTGTCATCTCGCGCCTGGCGGATGAGGCGGATAATGCCTTCAGCATCCGCAATCTGGTTACTCCGCCCCTGGTTCATGATGATGCCTTGCACCACAATTTCGGCAATTCTGTCTTTGCCAAGTCCGACAGCGGGCTCGTAAAGCATGTTTGCGCTTAGATAGGTCTGGAAATCTATGCCGTTGATCTCGTTGCGCTGTTTATCCCGAAAGCCAACATCATCAGCAATACGCACGTTAGCCTGGTCTGAGGTGAGCAGTTCATCGACCAGCTGGCTCTCCAGCGCCGCACGCGCCATATCTCCCTGAGTGACTTTGAGAATGCCCGCGAGATTGTCTGCGTAAGCCTGCAGCGCAGGTTTTTCGATTAAACGATTCCGCGAGATATCTCGTAGAAAGTGCTGCCAGATCTCCTGGTACAGCTGCTCACTGGCCAGACGCGACTCTTCAGACATGTCATTACGCGTGAAGGGTTCTACTGCAGACTTATAATCCCCCACACGAAAAACATGAATATTGACATCAAATTTATCAAGTAAGTCTTTGAAATAGAAACTATAACCACCAAAGCCTTCGAACATGATCTGACCCATCGGGTGCAGATAAAGTGCATCTGCAAAACTGGCGATGTAGTACTGCGCCTGGCTGTAGTACTGCCCGTATGACACCACTTTCTTACCTGCAGCCTGGAACCCAGCCAGCGCTTCACCTATGCGCTGTGCATGTGCCGGCGCCGCCCAGGCCATCTCATCGAGATCAAGCACAATCATCTTTATCTGCGCATCACCGGTGGCAAGTTCGATTGCGCGCAAGAGGCTGCGCAGTTCAACCTCGGCCAGACGAGGTCCGGCAGTCAACAGCTCTTCAAACGGGTCAGGCACCGTCGCCGCATCCACTACAACACCGCGCGGGTTGATCACCAACGCGGCATTATCAGGCACTGAGATGCCCTCACAGGTAGCCAGCAAGGCCAGAGTGATGAGCACAAGAATCAGAATAAACAGTGCATTGACGAAAAAGTTACGCAGCTTGGTAATCCCACCACCAATACGGCCGAGGATGCTGACGTTGGAATTAGACATACAGTTTTAGCGCCATCCGGAAAAAACAAACAAGCCGCAAAATTGGCTGCGACTATAACAGCGGTGATCTTATCGTTTTTTCGACCCCCAGGATGTGAAAAGGGATAAAATCTCGCCATGACAAAAATGCAAAACAATGTCGACCGCCCACTCTGGCGCTGGTCTGAACTCACCGAGGGTCTGCTGCAAAGTAAGCCACAAAACCAGCTGGAAGGCCCGGATGTCAGCGGGGTGGTTGTAGACAGCCGTGCGCTGCTGCCTGGGCAGCTGTTTGTGGCGCTGCCTGGAGACCCGGGCGCCAGATTCAATCCAAGCTATCGCAGTACTGTTGATGGGCATAGCTTTGTCGCCCAGGCTGCGGCCGCAGGCGCTGCTGGTGCAATGGTTCACCAGAACGCAGCCACGCTGGGAGTAGATGACAGCTTTCCCTTATTGCAGGTGGCTGACACCTACGACGGATTGTGGGCTCTTGGACATATGGCCCGCGCAAGACTGGAAGGCAAAGCCGTGGCCATTACCGGCAGCAGCGGGAAAACCACCGCTAAACACTTTATCAGCGCGGCGCTGAACGCCTATGCACCACCTGGCAGCTTCAACAATCATATCGGCGTGCCTCTGTCCCTGGCGAATACACCTGCACAGAGCAGATTTGCCGTCTATGAGGTGGGTACTAATCACCCGGGTGAGATTGAGCCGCTCGCAAAAATGATTGCACCTGACGTGGCGGTGTTACTGAATGTTCAATCAGCGCACATCGAAAACTTCCGTGACTGGCAAGCGCTGAAAGAGGAAAAAATCACTATTTTCAATGCAGTAGAAGACAAATCGAATACTGTTTCTGAATACAGCCTCGGGATGCCATACGGCTTGACCTTTGGCACCAACCCAAGTGCGGATGCGTATGTGAAAGAAGTGCAGGGAGATCGGGCCAGCATCGTCCTGCTGGGGAAAACCCTCAGCGCTCAAGTCCCCGGGGGCGGCGTCCACCGCGCCACCACTCTCGCCGCTACACTGCTGGTAAGCCATCTCCTAGACCAGGACCCGTTACTGGCCTGCGAACTACCCCACGAGCTTATCCCGACAGGGCGCGGCAATATCATCAAAATCGGCGATATCACCCTGATTGACGACAGCTATAACGCCAACCCTGACAGCATGCTAGCAGCCATCAACAGCTTGCGCTCACTGCGACCAACGGACCGGGCCGGTCAGACCCATCAGGTAGCCCTCATCGGCGAAATGCTGGAACTTGGTGACGCCGCTGAAGCAGGGCACCTGGCCCTTGCTGAGCCTCTTCAGGCGATGGAGCAGGTGTTTTGTGTCGGTGCAGGCACGCGCAAACTGGCAGATGCATTAGGTTGTCCATGGCACGAGTGGGCCAGCGACGCCCTGCTGGAAGAGGTTACACGCGCTTGCACAGCCCACAGCACGTTACTGGTGAAAGGTTCGAACCGCGTATTCTGGGCAAAAGACTTTGTCCAGCAGCTTAAGAAAAAGCTTGAATCAATTTATGTTTCACGTGTAACAAATTGATTTCAGATAAAAAAAGCCCGGACGAACCGGGCAAGTACCATTAGGAGTCACACTTTCAAAATAAGCTGATGGATCAGCATGTTTATTCTGAAGTCACTGCAATCGTTGGGGGGGAGACGTGAGCAGCGACAGTTGAAGTTAAGCACAGTGTGCAAAATGTGCCAGGAACCAGGTCACATTTTTGCTCATATGGCTCATACTGAGAGCTAACATACTCTGGATAAACCACTTTGATCGTAGATCGTCTCGGCCGTCAATTTCGCAACTTACGTCTCAGCCTCACCGCAGCGTGCAATTACGCCTGCACTTACTGCGTACCCGACGGCAAAAGACTGCTGGCTGCCAACGCAGAGCTTGAGGCCGATGAAATGGTCAAAGCTGTGGGTTTACTGATCGACACCGCAGGCATAGACAAGCTGCGCATTACCGGAGGAGAACCTCTCTTATCACCCAAATTTGATGCCGTCCTGCCTGAAGTGATGCAGATGGGTCTAAGTGACGTCTCGGTCACTACCAACGGTCAACTGTTGCCCCGCAAAGCACCTCTGATCATCGACGCTGGATTGAGGCGTATCAACATCAGCCTGGACACGCTGGACGCCAGAGCCTTTCGTGATATTGCCCGATCAGGAGACCTCGCCACGGTGCTCAAGGGCATTGATCTGATGCTTGAAGCTGGCATAAAGGTCAAACTGAATATGGTGCCGATGCGCGGCAAGAACGACCATCAGATCCTGCCTATGTTGGACTACGCTCTGGCAAGAGGAATTGAGCTGCGTTTCATCGAACTGATGAATATGGGCCATCTGCAGGGTAACGCGCTGTTTGAACGACAGTTTTACGGTATGGATGAAATTCTTGAACTCATAGCTGAACACTATGAATTTACGCGAGCACAGGCACCGCTGGATTCTACTGCGGCTCGATTTGAAATTTCCGGTCGAGGGATGTTCGGCATCATCGCCAATGAAAGTGAACCATTCTGCCGCACGTGTTCACGTCTACGCCTTTCTTCTAACGGCAAACTCTACGGCTGCCTGTCTAACGCCAAATCATACGATCTGCGAGACACCCTAAACCTGCCTGAACCCCTGGCAATTGCAAAATTGCAGTCCATCCTGGGGAACGCCCTGGCGGACAAGCAGTTAGCGAGCTTCCGCGGCGAGGTCACGGTGATGAAGTTTATCGGCGGCTGACATACCCCATCAGCGCAAGGCGCGCGCGCAGGAACAGCAGCGTCTCCTATACTCAAAAATACCCGTTGAGTATGAGCAAATGTTGTCAAACGTCTCCCTGGAAAAGAAACTCCTCCTCGTGCTGCTAATCGTTGCAGCAGGCACACAGAGCGCCTGTAGCTGGCAGAATACAGTACACGCAATCGCTACCAGCCCAGGTGTTTTGCGCCTCGATGCCAATACAGTTGTGGAGGGCGCACCTCGATTCACGCTACCTGCAGACGCCGGATTATCGATTTATGATGATCACACCACGCCATCAGCGTGGTTGAAATCTGCAAGCCTCGGCGTTGCCGAGGTGTTTGATACACATTCCCACCATCGAGGGTATGAATTGCTCGTGCGTTGGCCCAATCAGCCGGCGCCTCAACAGGCTGGACAGGCGAATTCTACCGAGGTTGCTTTGCTGGGTCTGACAGGCCTGCCCACGCTACCCCAGGTAGCGCGTTTGCCGGTGAAATTGAGAGACAATCACGGCAATACCATCGCTCATATGACGCTGCATATCAGTCCAGCGCTGTGGGGACCGGACTGGCAGGATCCGACACACCTACAAAGCAGCTTCAGGCGCCTCGCAGAGACGTTGCGAGACGGTTAAACTGTTGATATGAACGCTATCGACAGTTTGTTTAACACCCTCACCACATTACAGGCGAAGAAAAAATTGCCACCGGTTGAAATGTGGCAGCCCGACCATACTGGCACCATTGATATTGCCATTAACAACAACGGCGAATGGTTCCATGAAGGCGCTAAGATCCAGCGACAGGCATTAGCGGATCTGTTTGCCACTATTTTAAGAAAGGAAGGGGATGCCTACTTTCTTGTAACCCCGGCGGAAAAAATGGCGATCCAGGTGGCTGACGTGCCTTTTATCGCAACCGATTTAGATGTGCGCGGCAGTGGCAAAGCAACGGAGTTGTTGTTCACGACCAACGTGGGTGACTATGTTATGGCAGGGCCTGACAATCAGATTGTTATGCGTGGAGAACGCCCGTATTTACATATCCGCAATGGCTTGGAAGCGCGCCTGACGCGCAATGTTTACTATCGGCTGATCGAGCACGGCATCGAAGAGGCGGATCATCTCTACGTCTACAGCCAAGGCCAACCCTTTGACCTTGGCTTGCTCCACTAAGAACTGACTCACCCTTTACATATTGGGGTAGTTCGGCCCTCCGGTACCTTCAGGGACGACCCAGTTGATATTCTGCGCGGGGTCTTTGATGTCACAGGTTTTACAGTGCACACAGTTTTGCGCGTTAATCTGGAACCGTTGAGCACCGTTCTCTTCCACAATTTCATAGACACCGGCAGGGCAGTAACGCTGCGCAGGTTCGTCGTACTTGGGCAGATTAACCTTCAACGGAATATCAGGATCAGTCAGCACCAGGTGGCAGGGCTGATCTTCTTCATGCGAGGTATTTGAAATGAATACTGACGATAGCTTGTCAAAAGAAATCTTGCCATCCGGCTTGGGATAGTTGATTTTTTTCGCTTTGGAAGCCTCTTTCAGCGTTGCGTAGTCGGGTGTTGGGTCGCTCAACGTCCAACTCTGCTTACCCTTGAAATACTGATCGATAAAGGCGTGAACCGAGCCACCCAGCACGCCAAACTTGTGCAAGCCTGGCGCAACATTACGCGCACGGTTCAACTCGTCGAACAGCCAGGAATTTTCAAATTTCTGCTGGTAGCTGGCCACCTCAGTGTAGGCATGACCAGCAGCAAGCTCTTCAAAAACTGCCTCGGCGGCCAACATGCCGGATTTCATGGCGGTATGACTGCCTTTGATCTTCAGCGGATTCAGGAAGCCGGCATCGTCACCAGCTAACGCCGCGCCTGGAATGGTGAGTGTGGGTAACGCCTGCAATCCCCCTTTGATAATGGCCCGGGCCCCATAAGAAACACGCTCGCCACCCTCCAGAAGGTTGGCAATTTCAGGGTGGTGCTTCCAACGCTGAAATTCATCAAAGGGTGAAAGGTGTGGGTTGGAGTAACTCAGATCGATGATCAACCCCAGTGACACCTGATTATTCGGCAGGTGATACAGGTACGAACCGCCGGTGGTTGAACCTGGCAGATGACCAAGCGGCCAACCCACGGTATGCATGACTTTACCGGCTTTGTGTTTGGCTGGGTCAATGGTCCATAGCTCCTTGAAGCCGATACCATAGTGTTGCGTGCCGGATTCAGCATCCAGATTGAATTTTTTGATCAACTGCTTACCAAGATGCCCACGACAACCTTCTGTAAACAGCGTGTATTTCGCCCGCAACTCGTACCCAGGTGCAAAAGTACCTTTGGCCTCGCCATTAGCACCAACGCCCATATCACCCGTAGCGATACCGGCAACTGAGCCATCGTCGTTATACAATACTTCAGACGCAGCAAAACCGGGGAATACGTTTACCCCCATATTCTCGGCCTGTTCGCCCATCCAGCGACACAGATTACCCAGACTAATGGCATGGTTACCGTCATTATGTGCATCTTTGGGTACAAACATGCTTGGGATCTTGATTCTATTCGTGTCATTGACCATGTAATAAATCAGATCTTCGTTCACCGGATTGTCCAGCGGTGCGCCACGCTCCGCCCAGTCCGGGAACAATTCATTAAGAGCAGTGGGCTCAAAAATAGCGCCAGATAGAATGTGCGCGCCGATTTCAGAGCCTTTTTCTACCAGACACACCGAAATTTCGGTGCCCGCAGCTTCGCCCAGCTGCATTAATCGACAGGCCGCACTTAAACCAGCGGGCCCACCACCGACGATAACAACGTCAAATTCCATCGATTCGCGTTCAATTTCGCTCACAATTCACACATCCTTAAAGGCAAATAGTATTCAGCTGCTCATTATAACCCTATTTCACTCATTCCTTGACCTTGAAAAGGTGCGTAGCGACAATACGCCGCCAAAAAAAAATGGGTCACGGCGGTGGCGGGTCATCCTCGTTTGTCGCAAATCGTGTTCGGCGCCACCATCCATGGTCGCCCATCAACAAATACCTAAATACCCAATACCACGCTAACAACTGAGTTAGTGCTTTGAAGTGAGGAACTTATGAAAGTACTGGTACCCGTGAAACGCGTCGTTGACTACAACGTCAAGGTACGTGTCAAGCCAGACAATACTGGAGTCGATTTATCCAACGTGAAAATGTCGGTGAACCCATTTTGTGAAATTGCAATAGAAGAAGCCGTACGCCTGAAAGAGGCCGGCACGGCCACTGAAGTGGTCGCCGTATCCGTTGGCAGCTCTGCCTGTCAGGAGCAGCTGCGCACCTGTCTAGCACTGGGCGCAGATCGTGCTGTGCTGATCGAAACAGATGAAGACGTTCAGCCACTGGGCATCGCGCGAGCACTGCAGGCACTGCAGGCCAAAGAAAATGCGGATATTGTCATTTTCGGCAAGCAGAGCATTGATGGGGACAACAGCCAGACAGGGCAGATGTTTGCCGCTCTGACCGGCATGGGACAGGGCACATTTGCCTCTGAGCTCAACATTGAAGACGGCAAAGCACAGGTTATACGGGAAATCGATGGTGGCCTGCAGACGGTTAAGGTTTCTTTACCTGCTGTTGTGACCACTGACTTACGTCTCAACGAGCCGCGTTATGCCTCCCTGCCAAACATCATGAAGGCAAAGAAAAAGCCGCTTGATACAACGACCCCTGACGAATTGGGCGTTGATGTTAAACCTACAGTGGAAACGCTGCGCGTTGAGCCACCTGCCGAGCGTGAAGCCGGTATTAAAGTGGAATCAGTAGAAGAGCTGGTTGATAAGCTGAAAAACGAAGCGAAGGTAATTTAATGAGCATATTAGTTGTTGCAGAACACGATAATTCTGAACTCAAACCGGCCACCCGCGTAGCGCTTGCTGCTGCAGCGGCCATCGGCGGTGACGTAGATGTACTGGTTGCCGGCGCCGGCGTAGATGCGGTTGCCAGCCAGGCCGCTGCAATCGCTGGTGTTAACAAGGTACTGGTTGCTGACAACGCCGTTTACGCTAACCAGTTGCCCGAAAACGTCGCGGCGCTGGTGGTAGAGGCCGCTTCAGGCTACTCGCACATTCTTTGTGCACACACCACCAACGGCAAAAACTTCATGCCACGGGTCGCTGCAAATCTGGGTGTCGCCATGATTTCTGACATCGTCAGCGTCGAAAGTGAAGACACCTTCAAACGGCCGATTTATGCAGGTAACGCCATTGCAACGGTCAAAGCCAACGATGCCGTTAAAGTGGTATCCGTCCGAGGTACCGCTTACGACCCCGTCGCAGCTGAAGGTGGCAGCGCCTCCATCGAAGCTTTAGACAATGTTACCGACGCAGGCGTTTCGGAATTTGTCAGTGAAGAAGTGGTTAAGTCTGAGCGTCCCGAATTGACCTCTGCCGGCATCATCATATCTGGCGGCCGCGGTATGCAGAGTGGTGACAATTTTGTTCTGCTTGAAGGTATTGCGGACAAGCTCGGTGCAGCCATTGGCGCTTCCCGTGCCGCTGTGGACGCAGGATTTGTGCCTAACGACATGCAGGTAGGGCAGACAGGTAAGATTGTGGCCCCTGATTTGTACATTGCTGTGGGCATTTCCGGCGCAATTCAGCACCTGGCAGGCATGAAAGACAGCAAAGTCATCGTCGCCATAAACAAAGACGAAGACGCGCCTATCTTCCAGGTCGCTGATTACGGCCTGGTAGCCGACTTGTTTAAGGCTCTACCTGAACTCGAAGCTCTGCTATAGTTCTTGTTACTGGCCAAGCAAAGAGGAGTAATCCAGTGGCAGTATATGAACTAAATAACGGACAGCTGTTGCGTGTCGCCCGCAGTATTGACGGCAAACTTCAGCAGGAATATTTCAGTTTGATTGGTTTGAATAAAACCAAACAAAAAGAAGTGCGCCGTGAAGCGAAAGCGTTAGACCAGAAATGGGCTGACAAACAAGACGCCGCAAAGGCGAAGCGGGTGCGCGAAGCTGATACCGATAAAAAGCATTCCACCGGAGTGCGCGGTATCAATTTAGTGCATCGGCCTTCGCCAGCATTTCGAGTGCAGGTTCAAACCAGCGGTAAATCTCACGTACGTGAGTTTTCCGTAAAGCGTCTCGGGGCTGACAAAGCATGGGCGGAAGCAACTAAATTCCTGGCGGAATGTCGCGGCTACAAAAGCGCGCCAAAAGCCTGGAAAGACAGAATGCCGAAAGTTCCAAGGCAGAAGGCAGCTGGCAAAACGCCTGCGAAGGCTGCGGCAAAAACCGCACCTAAGAAGGCGACAAAAAAGGCTTCTAAAAAGGCGCCGAAAAAGCGCTAAGACCACTTTTCTCTTTGTGCTTAAAAACCGGTATTTTTGTACCGGTTTTTAAGCGTTTATAACGCCTCTCTGCGCTTCGCAGTAAACCAGGTGACGGGTTTGGCGTGATCATCTACTTGTTCCACAACATCCAGCACCAGCGCAAATAGTGCCATCCGCACCAGTACACCGTTGTCGGTCTGCCTGAAAATAGCCAGATTGGGATTCTGATTCAAATCATCAGCCAGTTCCTGCGCTTCGGAGCGAGAGTCCCGGGGCAGAGGGTGCATAATCACCGTGTTAGGTTCACAGTGCTGTGTGTAAACAGATTGATTGAGCCGAAATAGGCCACGATATTTATCTGCTTCCTGTTGAGACGGAAAACGTTCCTCCTGGGTCCGCGTCACATAAAGAATGTCGACGTCGTGAATACCCTGTTCTAACTCGTGGAAACTCTCTATACGGTGACCCTTAGCCTTCAATTCCGCAGCTATATCAGGCGGTATATCCAGCTCAGGGGGAGAGACAAAGTGCAAAGTGACGTTTTTATAGAGCCCCAGCAACTTGCATAAAGAATGCACAGCGCGACCGTATTTCAGATCACCAATCAGCGCAATACGCAGGTCATCCAGACCCCGCCCACGTCCGGCCATTTCCTGACGCATCGTGTATAGATCGAGCAGGGCCTGACTGGGGTGTTCGTTTGGACCATCACCGCCATTGATCACCGGCACACGACTGGCCTGAGCAAATTCTGCCACGCTACCTGGCTCAGGATGCCGCATCACAATGACATCGCTGTAACCAGACAGCACACGGGCCGTGTCATATAGCGACTCTCCTTTCGCCAGCGCAGAAGATTTCACTTCAGTCGTTTCTCTGACCTGACCACCCAGGAGATTAAATGCGGACCCAAATGACACACGAGTTCGCGTCGAGGGTTCAAAAAACATATTGGATACAATGGCGCCTTCGAGTACGCGGGTGATGCGCCTGCGCATGGCGTACGGACGCATATCATCTGCCACTTTGAATATCCGATCGACGTCTGCTCGACAGAACTGATCCACTGACAATATGTGGTTACCAACAAAATCCAAAATTTTTTGTCCCAACAAAAAGCTGCAACGCATAATACTCCGTCCAATCCGTCGACCCCACATCAAAATGCAATTCGAAGTGTATGGCGGGTACTCGAACACTCAGGCTGGCTCAGTTAGCATGTCTGAACTTCCGCTTGGATAAATAATATGACCCGTCTTTGTCTTATATTGGTTCTTGGATCTTTTATCGTCTTGAGCGCAGCTTCAACGCACGCTGCGCTGGAGGACAATATGAATGAGGCCGAGTTTCGAGCGGCGGGTTTACACAAACTCACCGATGCAGAGTTGGCAACACTGAACCGCTGGCTGGACAAATCAGCCTCGCCCGTGGCGAACGCACCGACCCCGACTGCACCGACAACTGCCAAAACCCCACAACCGCCTGTAAAAGAAGTCACAGAGTTTGGCCAGGAGCAGCTGGAGGTACCCGTCGCGGCTGAGGTGCCTAGCGCCATTACCGCGCGGCTTAAAGGTGAATTCAGAGGTTGGGACGGCAACACCATCTTCCGCCTCGACAATGGCCAGGTCTGGCAGCAGCGGGTAGGCGGCGGCTATCGGAGTATAAAAATGATGAATCCTGAGGTTGTAGTTAAGAAGGGGCGCTTCGGCTACTATCTAGAAATCCTCTCCTCTGGACGCAGCGTAGGCGTTAAACGGATTCGCTGACCTTGTTTCATGCCTCTCCGCGTGAAAAGTGAAAAAAATGTGAATTTTTAGTTGAGGGATCCCCGGACTTATACGTTTTACACGTAGCGGAAGAACGTCGGCTTTATGTGAGTTGGGCTAAAGCATAAATAACAGCAAAAACAAGACTCGACTAATCGAGCGTATATTTTGTTTTTTATCAAAGGTTTACGCACAAAAGTTAACGTTTAATTCCGTACTATCTTAAACCTTACAGTTGGGGGATAAACATGACTGTAGAACAGCCACTATTGGCGCGATCGCTATTTAAAGTGCTAGCGCTGGCTATTATCGCGCTGACAACTCCACAAGTTGTTTTCGCTGCTGACGACGACGCAGAGGTCGTTGAAGAAATCGTAGTTACGGGTTCGCGTATTAAGCGATCGGATTTTACTTCAGCTAGCCCAATTACCGTGATCAGTGGAGAATCAATTCTCGATTCAGGCATCGGTGATATCGGTGAAGCTCTCAGAAGGTCCGTTGTCGCGGGTTCTGGTGGTTTCAGCCAGCAGAATGTCCTGTCGGGCGGCGGCGCAACATCAATTGACTTGCGAGATCTGGGTCCTGACCGGGTTCTGGTATTGATCAACGGCAAACGGGTCGCACGTTTCGCAGACTCACTGGCAAACGAAGCTGCTGACCTGACCTTCCTACCAAATGCAATGGTAGATCGCGTCGAAATCCTCCGAGATGGCGCTTCTGCGGCCTATGGCTCAGATGCCATCACTGGCGTCGTGAACGTTATTTTGAAGGAGCGCTTTGAAGGCGTTCAAGCCAACGTACTTGCTGGCCAGCCATCTGACGATGGTGGCGAATTCAATTCAATGGCCCTCACCATGGGTGCCACATCAGACCGAGGTTCTGTGATTCTGGGTGCTGAGTACCGCTATCGCAACAACGTCCCGCATCGCGAAAGAGACTGGGCGTTTCCCGCCATTTCTTTCATCGGCGGTGGCATATTTGGTAATGGTTCCAGTCGCAACCCGGGTGGTATTTTCTTCGACGATAACGACACAACCTACTGCACCACGCCAAGAGCGCTGGGGGGTGATGAAAGAACCGTACAGACAACGGGATGTGGATTCCAAGTTTCTGCAGATCCAGCTGATCGAGACACTCTGATCAATTACGACTACGCTCTGGAGCAGGACATCGTTAACGCTTTTGATATTTATTCAACAGCAGGCTATGCAAACTACAACATCACAGACAGCACCGAAGCATTCCTTGAAGTTCAGTATTCGAAACGATTGACTGAAAGTAGACTGGACGGAAACCCACTGTTCGGTGGTACACCCGGTGTACCTAACGGCTGGGAAGTTCCAGCCACTAATCCAAACCTGCTGCCAGGCATGTTGGGTGGTACCTTCGGCATTCGGCCTTCTTCAACCATAGGTATTCGAGATACAGAAATCGAATCTAATACGATTCGTATGGTTGGTGGACTGCGCGGTGAGATCATCAATGAAGACAACTTCTTCAACAACTGGTCTTGGGAACTGTCATATCTGTACACGCGAGTTAATGCAGATCAGACGACCGATGCGATTTACAACCTGAATCGGGCCAACATTATTTCTGACCCAGATCGATGTGCGGCCGATTCAGTTTGTAGCCAGGTGGTCAATGCCTCTGGCGCACTTGATGTTCTGCGCCCAGCTAACTGGACAGCATCTGAAATCGACTACCTGAAGCAAATTTCAACATCGATCAGCAAATTCCAGACAACTGGTTTCTTTGCGCTGGCAACCGGTCCAATCTTTGATTTGCCAGCAGGCGAAGTAAATCTTGCTGTGGGCGCAGAAAGTCGTACAGATGAAGGTTTTGCAAAGCCTGACTCCGTCACGCTTGCCGGTGAAAGTGTTGCAAACCAGACATTTATCAGTGAAGGCTCATTCAACGTTGATGAGGTTTTTGCGGAAATCGAACTGCCCCTGCTTCGAGACGCTCCAGGCTTTGAATACCTGACCCTCAACCTTCAAGCGAGATGGGCAGACTACAGCAATTTCGGCGATGAAACTGTCACCAGAGTTGGTATCGACTGGCAGATTTATCAGGATCTGCGAATTCGAGCTAACGTATCTACAGCTTATCGTGCACCGACCGTAACCGACCTTTTTGGTGGTGGCACAGTCAGCTTCGACCGATACGCTGATCCTTGTGCTGATGCTACACTCAGAGCTAGTGACCCCTTAGTGGACGGTAACTGTCTTCTCGATGGCATTGCACCTGGGTTCGTTCAGCCAGCATCACAGTTTCCTGTCCTCAGAGGATCTAATCCAGACCTGCAGCCTGAGGAGGCTGATACGTCATCGATCGGCGTTGTGTTTACGCCAAGTTTTCTTGAAGGACTGTCTATCACAGTAGACTACTGGGACATCGAAGTTGAAGACCTGATCGGCAACATAGCTTCTGCATCAATCATTTCCGATTGCTACACCGGGCCGGCTGGCCTTGCCGCACCCGAATGCGACCAGTTCACTCGGGACGGGCTGGGTCAACCTGCAGGCTTGGTTAACCGACTGCAGAACCTCGATAAAGTCAGCACCGATGGCTATGATCTTCGTGTTGTTTATGAAACAGAGCTTTTCAATGACACGCTCTGGGTCTTCGACTTGAACGGAACCTACGTCAAAGAAAACACGTTTGCGCCAGGTGTTGGCAACTACACTGTAGATATCGCATCAGGCTTCCCCAGAATTAAGGCAAACTTTCGAACAGACGTTCAGTGGAATGAATGGGAATTCTCCTGGCTGATGAGATACACACATGGCATGAACGATGTGGACTTTGATGGAGATAATATTTTCGGATACGACGAAGTCGACTCACACACTGAACACGACATCCGAGTTGGTTACAACTGGGATCAATATAGAGTCGTTTTCGGTGTCAACGACCTGTTCGATAACGACCCACCGTTCGCTTTCGATGCAAGCACAAACACGGCACCTTTCATCTACGATGCGATTGGCCGCTTCATGTTTTTGCGCCTGAGCGCAGATCTATAAGCTCGATATAATAATAACTGAGCATTTCAAGGGGCTGCTTTGCAGCCCCTTTTTTGTGTCTGTGCTTAAGCAGCCTGGCTCTTTGCCGCTAGAACGATTTGTCAACTTTCACAAAGAAGTAACGTCCGGTTATGTCATACGTCCGGCCGTCATAGCTGTCGTTAAAAGCAGCGGCAGAGAAGGGTGGCGCCTCATCAAACAAGTTGTTTACACCTGCGGTGAACCTGAACCATTTAGACAGCGGACCGAGATAGCTGACGTTGAAATTATGCGTGGTCCAGGACGAGATAGTCCGTTGCGTTTCTAACAAAGGTATTTCTTCTCGCAAAGAACTGACATGATAAATAGTGTAGTGGCTTTGCCAATGCTGATGTCGCCAGCTGAGACCGGTGTAGATCTTCCAATCAGGCAACGCTCCCAGACCTCCAGCTGCCTCATCAGAGAATGTCCCAGCTTTATCAATTGAAGGTGAGGTTGGATCAAATTGATCCTGGAACCGCACAATATGGGTGGCGTTAAGCGCCAGTGTTAAGCGCCCGTTATCGCGCATATTCCAAGTTACTTGACCGGATAAATCGTAGCCACTAACTTTCCTGCGGCCTATGTTCTGTAACGTCGCAAGGATCATTTCAAGATTGCCATCAACGTTACGCGTGACACGATTTTCAAACCTGCCGAGGCGGGCATTCTGATTCAGTACAAACTGCGCAGAAGACTCAACTACATCTTCAGAATCTATGTAATACCAGTCTGCACTGAACAGCAACTGGTTACTCCGCCACTTTGGTCGCCAGACTAAACCTGTACTGAAGGTTGAAGAACGCTCCGGATCCAACCCGGCATCGCCGCCGGTAATGGTCAGATATTGAGTTAACGACGGATCACTCTGCAGATCGCAACCCAGGAAAGAACCCACGTTGGACGCAACTGTGCAGGGGTCGTTGAGTTGCTCGAATGACTGTAATGAACTGGCGAAAAGTTGCAGAAGTGTGGGCGCGCGAAACCCTCTGGCGCCGCTCGCCCGCCAGGTGATCTCTTTTGTTGGCATCCAGTGCAGCACCAGCCGCGGGTTAACCTGAAAACCAAAATCACTGTACCGCGACACCCTTGCCGCCACTTGCACATCAAGTCGTTCAACAAAACGTCTGTTTGCGGCAAGCGGAATAAGCCCTTCTGCATAGACTTCAACGATCTCCCGACTGCCTTTTATAGCACGCCGATTGCCGCCGCCAAGCAACAGATTATTGCGCAGGATCTGATCAGGAGAGGTGTCTAACTCATCACGACGGTATTCGAACCCGGTCGACAGTTCAACATCGCCCTGGTTTGTCTGTTTCGCCACCCAGTCAAGATCAAAGGTAAACCCAAAGGTACGGCTTACCCCTTCGATGCGCGCATCCGTACCAATAAACGCAGACATGTGTTCATCTATTGAATTGCCAGGACCAAATATATTCAGTGGCACACAAGGCGCAGCACAGTCCTCGTCTAAAGCCAAAGCGACTTGCGCGGCATTGGCGCCATTGCGAAAAGTCTCCTGCGCATCAGTCTGATTAAAAGTGAATGCCGCATCTAAACTTAATCGTCGGGTTTCACGCCTGAACCCCAGAACAGTGCGGTATGTTTCTGAGTCGTTTATCTGTTTCCGCGGACCCAGCTCTAACAACCGACGGCGCACATCAAACACCGCCTCACCAAACGGGTTAAACACCTGTTGAGCATCGACAATGATGGGTTCGGGCTCAAACGCGCTGAGAAGTGGGGTAGGTGCCAACGTATTAATTGATTCTGTCTGGTGGTAAAGGGCTTCAAAATAGCCCAGCCATTGCGCGCCCATATCCCACTGCAGGCTGGCAAAACCACCCAGTCGCGTCGAAGGCACAATTGAAGAAGTGAAATCGCGGAATTCAAATCGGTCATCTTCGGTTATGGCGCGAAAATCCTCAGGCACAACGCCTGGCGCACTTTCCAGCAACACAACAGGTCCGCTGGATAAACCGAGCCAGGCAGGGCTGATTGCACTGCTGCGCTTATCAATGCCCCCACGGGAGCGATCGTTGGAAGAGGCAGATAAGGTTCGATCGCGGCTGTAAACGCCGGATTGATCGTAGTAGTTCATACCCAGGGCGCTGCTCCAGCGCTCACCTTCGAAACCCCACAGACCTGAAAGATGGGTGGTCTGAAGGTCACCTTGCGCAGACTGACCCGTATACGCATCTATAGATAATCCGTTGATGTCCTGTTTTGTGATCACGTTTACCACTCCGGCAATCGCATCAGAACCGTAGATCGCCGAAGCACCATCTTTGAGGATCTCAATGCGATCAACAATACCCAGAGGCAGGGTGTTGAGATCCACCGAACCACCGCGCAAAGCATCGGTGTTCATTCGCCGCCCGTTCAGCAATACCAGTGTGTTACTGGCAGGCAGCCCACGCAATGTAACGCTGGCGGTGCCATCACCGCCGTTGGAGATCAAAGTACTGGCACTGTTACCCGAAACAGCTGGTACATAGCGTAAAAGTTCGCCAACAGCCTGATAGCCGGACAGTCTGATTTCAGTCTGATCAATCACCTCCAGTGGCATGGCGAAACTGGCCGACGGATTACGCAAGCGCGTGCCGGTGACGTGAGGTTCCTGAACGAGTATCTCTTCGACAAAAGACGCCGGAGCAGATTCCTCCACCAGGACGTTTTCAATAACTGATACCGGAGCAACAGCCACCGCCTGCTGACAACCGGGCACAATTGCAATCAGGCGCTCTCGCACAAATTCGTAACTTATACAGGCGTCGCCGAGCAGCTGCTCAAACAGCTCGGGCAGGGTATACGTACCCATCACAGCCTCGTGGGTGATATCCGCCACCGTTTCTTTGGAAAAGAAAATTGAAACCTGATGATCGCGGGCAAAACTGAGCAACGTTGCCTGCAGATCGCCACTCGGTAAATCCACCTGGTAAGCGGCTTCGGATTCCGACGCTGCGCTCACCGGGCCAGATAAAAAAAGCACAGCGGCAAGGATGACTGCGGGAAGCAGCAAACGGCGCCAATGTGCATGTGAAGTCATGCGCGCATGCTAATCAACCACGTCGGGCATTACAAAAAGGAAGTTGTGCTAAATCAGGCGTCGGAAGTGACGATGATCAGAGTGTCAGACAGGCTTTTCCAGCGAATCGGCAGCGTTTTGCTGAGTGCATCAAGCATCGCTTCCTGATCGTCGAGATTGAGCACAGCGCTGACGCGCAGACTTTCGAGGTGCAGGTCGTTGATTGCCATGGTTTTTGGAAGGTAGCGATTCAAGTCTTGGAGCAGTTCATCCAGCCTTACATCATTATAAACCAGTTGCCCACGCTGCCAGCCCAGAACCACATCGGGATCAACCTGACGGTAGTCCATGGTGACTGCAGTGACAGTACCTTCATCACCTGGACCTAAATGGGAGCCTTCTTCACCATCCTCTTTGAACAGCACAACCGTACCTTCAGTCACGCTGACCCGGGTAAAACCAGGCGTTTCTCGGACACTGAACGCCGTACCAACGGCCTGCGCATCGGCATACTGTCCATCCACTGTAAACGGACGCTTTGTATTTTTAGCGACGTCAAACCAGACTTCCCCTTGCTGCAGGATGATGCGACGTTCATCCGTTGAATAATCAACCTGGATTTTTGATGCTGTATTCAAAAAGGCAATGCTGCCATCCGCCAGCACAACCCGCCGTTGTTCACCTTTGCCGGTCGTAAAACCTGGCGTGGCCAACTGCACCACCATCAGAAATGCAGCGAGAAGGACCGAAGCGGCAGTCGCCAGTGGCAATATTTTACGATAACGCGGCGTAGCGGGTTTCAATATGATCGATAGGGGTGGCATATGTGCCGTTAGCTGCCAGATTTCAGTGGCTGTATCAAATGCCTGCTCATGATTCTTAGACGCTGCAAGCCAGATGGCAAAGTCTGCGGTTTCCTGTGGCGTGACATCGTCAGCGCGTAGACGTGCAAGCCACTCTATGGCCTGGTCGGACACTGAGCCCGCACTGTCTAACTGATGATCCTGCATTTAACCGTCTTAAAACCGACTCTCATATGTTAAACGCACCAGACGACGATTCCCTCAGCGCGTTATTGTTCCAATTTGTTACGAAAGTGCTTCAGTGCCTGGATAATGTATTTCTCAACCATACTGGTGCTGACACCCAGTTGCTCGGCAATCATCGGGTAAGACATGTTTTTCTGCCGATGCATCACAAACGCCTGGCGGCATTTGGTGGGCAACTCAAACAATGACGCTTCGATGGTGCGCAAAGTTTGTTGAGCAGCGACGGTGGCCTCGACAGACTGCACGGGTTCTTCTGCCATGACATCGTGATTGCGCTCCAACGATACGCGTCGGATACGGTCGATGCTCAGGTTTGAAGCGGTCTGAAAGAGAAAGGCTTTCGCGTTTTCAAGCTCTTCGGGGTGATCAAGCCGAAACACCCGCAGCCAGGCTTCCTGGGCAACTTCTTTGGCTTCATCGACATTTTTAAAACGCGCGGTCAGGTACTTGAGCAGCGGTGTAGCCTGCTCCTCAAAAAGATCTGCAATAAATTCACTTTTTGCCTGCGCCATGTCGCTTATTCTACGCATTTACGTCAAATGAATGTAACGAAACTGAAATAAACTGGGCCACCTAGTGTGTAGAGTTGTAAAGTGCGAAGCGGGATGAACGTGAACCCGTAGGCATTGCCCATCACGTCTACTACCCAAGACTGGCTAGGACCCTTAGGCTAAGCTCTAAGTGACTGATACTATTAGCCATTAACCGACAATATCTCAGACAGGACATCTGGCCATCATGACCGACGCGGCGTCATCAACGACATCAGCAGAATCAACAACGATGCAAGCAGCAAACGAGCTGAAGCCGGCTGTTGCCCTGGAGGCTAACACCAAAATCAGCGAAATCACGCTGCTGCCATTTGCTTTCGCCAAACGCTTTGGCATTGTCATCACCGGCACCACACTGCCAGGCCACAAAGCTGACGTCGCCTGCAAAGCTCAACCTGCACTCACGACGCTGGCAGAAGTGCGCCGCACAGCGGGCAAAGAGCTGACCGTACGTATGGTTGGTGCCGAAGAGTTCGAGCAGCTGTTGTCGGATACCTATTCCCGTGATTCGTCAGAAGCGCGCCAGATGGTGGAAGATCTCGGCGACGAAATGGATCTGGCCAGTCTGGCTAATTCGGTACCGGAAACCGAAGACCTGCTGGAACAGGAGGACGATGCGCCGATCATCCGCCTGATCAACGCACTTCTGGCGGAGGCTATCCGGGAAGGGGCTTCCGACGTACATATCGAAACTTTCGAAAAAGAACTGTGTGTCCGTTTTCGGGTTGATGGTGTGATGCGTGAAGTTGTGAAACCCAAACGCGAGTTAGCGCCATTGCTGGTGTCACGTATCAAAGTGATGGCGCGGCTGGATATTGCTGAAAAACGCATTCCTCAAGACGGACGTATTTCGCTGCGTATCGGTGGCCGCGAGGTAGATGTACGTGTCAGCACCATGCCCGCCAGTTCAGGCGAGAGGGTGGTTTTACGTCTGCTTGATAAACAAGCGGGCAGACTTCGACTCGAAAATCTGGGGATGGCTGCCGAACAGCTGAAGATCCTTCAGTCGGTGGTGCACAAGCCGCACGGAATTTTCCTCGTCACCGGCCCGACCGGTTCCGGTAAAACAACCACACTGTATGCGTCGCTTGCCGAGCTGTCGGCTCAGACTATTAACATACTGACTGTGGAAGACCCCATTGAATATAACCTGGCAGGCATTGGTCAAACCCAGGTCAACACCAAAGCGGATATGACTTTTGCACGAGGCTTACGTGCCATCCTGAGACAGGATCCTGACGTTGTGATGGTGGGTGAGATCCGCGATCTGGAGACTGCTGAAATCGCCATTCAGGCGAGCTTGACCGGTCATCTGGTCATGTCGACCTTACACACCAATACCGCCATCGGAGCGGTGACCCGGATGATGGACATGGGCGTAGAGCCGTTCCTGTTATCATCCAGTCTGGTTGGCGTTCTGGCCCAGCGTCTGGTGCGCACTTTGTGTGAAGACTGCCGTGTCCAACGTGCTGCAACCACAGCTGAACTACAGTTTCTCGGCGAACCTCGCGCAGTTCTATATGAATCGACAGGATGTGAAGCCTGCAGCCATTCAGGCTATCGAGGTCGCACCGGTATTTACGAACTGGTGGTTGTGGACGATACCATCCGCCAGTTGATTCACGACCAGGTCAGCGAACAGGAATTGACGGGGTACGCACGCCGCACCGCACCAGGCATTCGTGAGGACGGCAAAGCAAAAGTGTTAGCTGGTATCACCACGGTGCAGGAAGTACTGCGCGTCACGTTGGAAGACTGAAACAACCCTCATGGCTGCATTCGAATACGTTGTCCTCGACGCAAAAGGCAAACAGAACAAAGGTGTAATGGAGGCCGACAGCGCCCGCCAGTTGCGCCAGATGTTACGCGACAAAGGTCTGATGCCCCTTGAGGTTGCCCCGGCAACAGAACGACATAAACGCCAGACCAACAGCATGGGGTGGAATTTTTCCCGCCGCATGTCAGCGCTTGATCGCGTTTTATTCACGCGCCAGCTGGCCACCTTGATTGCTTCAAGCCTGCCGATAGAAGAGGCACTCAGCGCGGTTGCTCAGCAGACAGAAAAACAGCACGTCAGCGCCCTGATTCTGGGTATTCGCAGCAAAGTTTTAGAAGGCCACTCTCTGGCCAGCAGCCTGCGCGAATATACCAACAGTTTTTCTCAGCTGTATTGCTCATCTGTTGCGGCTGGCGAACAGTCCGGCTACCTGGACCGGGTACTGGAAAACCTTGCGGACTATCTGGAACGCCAATTCGAGTCGACCCGCAACGTTGAAATGGCTCTGTTTTACCCCGTAGCACTTCTGTTTCTGGCTTTTGCAATTGTTGGCGCGCTGATGGTGTATGTGATTCCGGACATGATCAGTGTGATCGAAGACACCGGCCAGAGCCTGCCCTGGTTCACCGTGCTGCTGATAGCCATGACCGACACCCTGCGCGACTACTGGTGGGCTCTATTAGGTGGTGTAGCCATTATTGTCCTGGTAATCCGCTGGGCGTTATCACAACCCAGCATCCGCATAAGCTGGGACCATAAGAAATTTTCCCTGCCGCTGCTCGGGCGCATTGCCCGCAGCGCCAACGCAGCGCGTTACGCAAACACGTTATCCATCCTGACCAGTGCCGGTGTGCCGTTGGTAGAAGCCATGAACATTGCCAGTGAAGTGGTGTCCAACACCTGGCTGCGCCGCCGTCTTGCAGAGGCCACACAGACTGTCAGCGAGGGCATGAGCTTGAGGGTTGCCCTCGAACAGGTGGGACAATTCCCGCCAATGCTGCTGCATATGGTGGGCAGCGGTGAACAGAGTGGCGAGCTGGATGCAATGTTAGGGCGCGTGGCCACTTATCAACAAGCTGAGGTCGAGCGAATTGTGTCCACTGTGGTGAAATTGTTTGAGCCCCTGATGTTACTCATCATGGGCGCGGTTGTGCTGTTTATTGTCATGGCCGTGTTACTGCCTATATTAAGTATGAACCAGTTGGTCTGAGCCAACGAGATGTCGGAGAAGTAGATATGTATGTGAGACCATCAACCATTGGCGCAGGTAAAACCCGAGGTTTTACGCTGATTGAGATCCTTGTGGTCGTTGTCATTCTGGGGATTCTGGGCGCGGTTGTTGTGCCGCAAATTCTCGGCAGACCTGACGTGGCCAGAGTACAGGCTGCACAAACCGATATTCGCTCACTGTCTAACGCGCTGGACGTCTACCGGCTCGACAATTTCCAGTACCCCTCATCCGAGCAGGGCCTGGAAGCCCTGGTTGAAAAACCCAGCGGATTTCCTGAGCCGAAAAACTACAACCCGGAAGGCTACGTCAAGAAACTGCCGACTGATCCATGGGGTTCACCGTATATCTACGAACGCGGTGACAATGGCTTTGCGTTATACAGCCTCGGCGCTGACGGTCAGGAAGGTGGCGAAGGATTAAACGCCGACATCCGACTGGCGGATATCTAAACCACAGCAATTCAGAATATGCGCACTTTCAAACCATCCGCACGGGGTTTCACGCTGATCGAAATTCTGGTGGTGGTACTGGTGGTGTCTATTCTCATGGCTGTGGTTGCCGGCTCTTTCAGCGGTTCTGATCGAGAACAGGCGCTGCGAGGATATAGCGAGCGGCTGGCATTGCGCATTGAGTTTGCCCGCGACAAAGCGTTGCAGAGCAATCGGGAATGGGGTGTTTTCATAGACGAGGAGGGCGTCCGCTTTGCGGAGTTTGACGAAATCAACGCCATCTGGAACCCTCGCAGTGAAAAACCATTCAACGCAGACCCCTACGATCGTAACGTGGAATTTGATGTCTCGGTTGAAGATCTGCCCGGCACCCTGCAGGCACCGGAAGACCCGGACGAAGACATCCCGCAAATTGTTTTATTTTCCAGTGGAGAAACCACCCCTTTTGAAATCACTATTTTGCCTATCGAATGGGAAACTCGAGCATGGCTGTTAGCCTCTGACGGTTTCACCCGTACGGCGGCAATCCGCAGCGACGAAACATGAAAGCCAACGCTGGTTTCACCCTGCTTGAAATGTTGCTTGCCGTGGTGGTCATCGCAGTGGTGGGTATCACCATATCAACGGCCATCGGTGGTGTTGCCAATCAGACATTTTCACTGGAACGCCGCACCGTCGCGCATTGGGTCGGTCAGAACCAGCTGCACCGGTTGCGTATCAGCCTGCGCAATGAAGCCCAGGTGCTACCTGAGGGGCGCGACAGCACACGTGTGTTCATGGGTGGCAGGGACTGGGAAGTGCGCACAGCCATCACGGCTACCGATTCACCGGTCATGCGTCGCGTTGAAGTCGACGTTTATGAATTTCTTGAAGGCGAGCGTCTTGGTCCATTTGACCACAGCGTCGCCTTTGTCGGCCGTAACTGATGCAACATAAACAGAAATCACTGCCGCGCGGCTTCACCTTAATCGAGATACTGGTCTCATTCATGATATTTGGCCTGATCGGTGTGATCAGCAGCCAGTTGCTGTCACAAACCCTCAGCGCTCAAGACAACCTGTCTGATCGAGGCACCCGGCTGAATGACATCCACCGCGCCATGCAGATCATGCAAAGGGATATCATGCAGCTGGTTGACCGTCCTATACGTGATCAGTACGGCGACCCACAACGCCCGCTGCTGATCGGCACAGACGGCGTTATTGAATTCTCTCGCGGGGGCTGGCGCAATCCACTGCAGCTACCTCGCGCTGAAGTCCAACGGGTCGGCTATCTCATGCAGGACAATAAGCTGCTGCGGGGCTACTGGCCGGTACTTGATCGCGCCCAGGATACTGAGCCCGCGTACCAGACGCTGTTAACTGACATAGAACAGCTGGAGTTTTTTGCCCTGGATGCCAGCGGCAATGAATATACGTTCTGGCCGGTTCCTGGCGCCAATCCAAGTGATCCAAACACCGCCTTATCCGGCATCCTGATGCGCATAGAAATCCCACCATTCGGTGTCATTGAGCGCGTCTGGGAGGTACCCGGTGTCTAGCCTGATAAGCGCCAGGCAGCAGCGGGGGGTTGCCCTTGTCAGCGTGCTGCTTATTGTCGCCATTTTACTTGCGGTTGCCAGCCGTCTGCTTGCCAGTCACAACCTGGTAATCAACGCCCATCAGAACACATTTGAACAGAACCAGGCGCTGCAATACGCCCTGGGGGCTGAGACCCTGGCGCGCCAGGCGCTGTTTCAGGATTTCAATACAACCGGCAAAGACATCGACCACAACGGCGAGATATGGGCCCAGCAGACCATGCCCTTTGAACTGGACGAAGGCGGTTATCTGGAAGCCCAGCTGATCGACAGGCAGGGGTGTTTCAACCTCAACAGGCTGGCCGGATCTGAGGCTGACGTCGCCGCCGAGCAACTCAAACGAATGGCCCAGAATCTGGGCATCAATCCGCAAATCGCGGACGCCTGGAAAGACTGGATAGATACAGATCTCGAAATCAGCGGTTTTGGCGCTGAGGACTCTGATTATCTCATCAGCCAACCCCCATATCGCACCCCGAATCAACCCGTTGTAGATGTCTCAGAACTGTATCTGCTGCAGAATGTCGATCGTGAACAGCTGGCGCTGCTGCTGCCACACGTATGCCTCCTGCCGGAAACGGAGTCATCGTTGAATATCAACACCGTTAACGCTCAGAGCCTTGCAGCGCTGGATGAGAGCTTTACCCTGAGTCAGATTGAACCCATTGTGGAGGCGGACCGCGCATACCAGAACGTGGCCGAATTTATACAGGCGTTTGCGGATTTTGCGCCGGCTGAGGCCCGTCTCAAGGTCACCAGCGAATATTTTCTGTTACATGCTCAGGCGCAGGTGGGCAGCAGTTCAGTGACCCTGCAGAGCCTGTTGTTTCGCGACCCAAATAGCGGTGTAGTTACGGTTCTAAGGCGAGACTTTGGTAAACTCTTTCGTTCAAATCTGGACATCGTCACCGAGGAGATCTGATGCCGCGTTTGTTTTTACGTGTGCTTTCCCAGGCAGAGCCACTATCCACTGATGGTGACATCGATACTGATTCGACTATGGTCGAAGGTTACGACCTGGGCGTCGAATGGCTCATCAAAGAAAATGATGGTTCAGTGCGTGGTACCGGCGTTACGGACTACCGTGGCCTGGCCGACATTGCCGACCCCAATATCGACTGGCTTAAAGATCCAGAGAACACCGTAGTGTTACTGCCGAGCCAGTTTGTGCTGATGGTGACCTGTGACGTACCTGGCCGCAGCACCGCACAAATTCGCCGTGCGCTGCCCTTTGCGGTGGAAGAGTTTGTGGCCACTGACATCGAACTCATGCACATCGCGCATGCCGGCATCAAAGCCGGCCAGCCAGTACGCTGTAACATCGTTGCACATGAAACCATGGTGAATTGGCTGGCCTGTTTTAAATCTCTCGGCGTTAACCCCGGGTATTTTGTGGCTGACAGCCAGATGCTGCCCAGCGACAGCAATAGCGCAAGTGTGCTTTTTGAAGGTACAACGGCCCTGGTCGCTGCCCAGGACCAGGCTGCTATCGTAGATATCGATAATCTGGTTTTCGCCCTGAACAGCCTGGATGTCAATGAAATCGCTGTGATAAACGGCGAACTGAATCCGGTTGATGCCGGCTTGTTAGAGAGCAACCCGAATATCGTCAACGTTGACATGTCACCACACGGTGTTCTCGACTACCTCGCTGACCAGTTCGGAAGCAGGAGTTTCATCAACTTGTTGCAGGGACAATACACACCAGTACGTCCTAAAAGTGCCCATGCTGGAAAATGGCAGGGTGTTGGCGCGCTTGCAGCAGTCTGGTTGCTGGTGGCTTTTGTTGGCATGGTTGCGCAAGGATTCTGGGCGTCAGCACAAGCTGACCGTCTACAGGAAGAAAGCTTTGCGATCTACAAACAAGCTTTCCCCAGAGAATCCCAACCTAACACTGTTGATCAACTGCGCAGACGGATGCGCGCAAAACTGGGGCAGAGTGGCGCCGCCGAGGAAAACAACGCCTTTGTGGGTTTAACCGCCCAATTTGCCAACGTTATGACCAGCAGCGGCAGAGTTGACTCACTGAGTTACACCCAACAGCGTGAAGAACTGACCGTTGAGGTACTGCTGGACAGCTTTGATGATCTTGAATCGTTGAAGGGTAAACTTGCCCAGGCGGGCATTGCGTTAGAGGTGGTCAGCTCCGAATCTGAGGATGCCGGCGCACGTTCACGACTACGGCTGAGGTACGAATCATGAGCGTTATGACATCTATGACTAACGGCTTTCGCAATTCAGCAATCGGCCGCTGGTTTTATGGCCGCGAGCAGAATGAACAGACCATTATTGCCGCGATAGCAGCGCTGGTCGTAATTGCCATTTTGTGGGCGGTTGTCTGGAAACCTGTTGCAGACTGGCGTTATGTCGAGACCAACCGCCAGCAGAATGCACAGCAACTGGTTGACTGGCTACGTGTCAATGAACAGGCCGCCAAACAGGCGGCAAGCAGCAGTAGCAACAACAGGGGCTCACGCGCGCTGATTCCGGTTATTACAAAAGCGGCGGACGCACACAACATCAAGGTTAATCGGCTACAGCCGGAGTCCAATGGCGTCATCAGCGTTGTTCTGCAGCAGCAGTCGTTTAACCAGATTGTGCAATGGATAGCGCAACTTAATGAAAACAATGGTGTTTCTGTTGATCGAGCCAGCTTCGATTCGCAAGATGCGCCAGGCTACGTTAACGCCCAGATTCGTCTCAACTAGGCCCCACTAAAGCCATGTGACGTTTAACGTCGCATTTCAATTGTCCACGATCAGAATTTCAGGTAAACGAAAGTTGCTGTAAGTGTAATTGCGCGACTCAGTTCTCGTTTACACCGTAACGGGTTCAACGATTTTGCCCCCCAGCGTCATAAACTGACCCTCAAGAGATGAGAGACACCTTAGGGAAGGGACACTTCAATGCTAGACGCCGATAAAGTATTTGCCGCAGTACACACGCAGGTGACAGGTGAGTTGATGCAGTTAATGAACGGCTTCTATCACAACATAGAAGACGGTCTTTTCGAGCTTGCTTATACCAACCAGGATCAGATGCAACAGCGTCACCTGGTGGAACTGATGCGTGAGCTACGCTTCCGGCGCAAGCAGTTGCTGCGCACATTCGGCAAGCGCGTGCACAATTCCAGTCCCGCCTGGCTGGGTCCATATGAAGCAGGCCCGGAACTTATTGAAGAACGCATGATTGCCAATGAGATGGCGGCAAAATGCGGCGCTCACTTTGGCCCCGTGCTCCAGACCATCGCTGAGCGTACGTCGCATGCCACTGCGCGGGATGTGCATCGCAAAGATCTGCCCATCAGCCCGGAAGCGGTGAGCTATCACTTTGTGATGTCCTGCCGCAGCGTTAAATTTGACAAATATTCTGTAGCTACTGTTCAAGGGTTGTTTCAGCGCTTTGTGTTAGATCGTCTCGGCGCGCTGTACGGAAGAGTCAACTACGAACTGGAAGAGGGTGGTTATCGCACTGCGGCTGAAGTTGGTGACAGAGCGATGCTCTCAAGCGCGTAGTCTGTGGCGACCACTGACCCACAGAAAAGCCTGTAACGGCGTCTTACGACGCTCCTGCAAACGTCGTTCCGGATGATTTATAGGCTGATTATCCATCCGCCGATCTAAGCCGCAGCGTACATCTCTTGCGGCAACATCCTCGCTCACATTGTTTGTTTTATAGTCCATCACTTTCCTGCGCCCACAATCGTTTACGTTGCTCTGCCTGTGCGACGGTATCGATAAAAGCAATCTCCACGGCATCCTCGGAGAGCTTTTTCACAATCGCGTGATTGCTGCTGACCCGATGAATAATGTGTCTGCTCGAGGCTTTCATGGGCTGACCGTATTTCGCTTTGAAAGCATCAGCCACGTCATCGAAAACCAGGTCTTTGAACGTACCGCGGATAACGATGGGGTGACGCTCCGGCGAGATGACTAACTGGATGTCACCCCGATCAAAGGGTTCAGGTAAATTTGGCAAAACCGCATAGAAGGGCGCATCTACCGGGAAATTCTGCGTCGAATTCCTGGCAAATGGTTTCTGAAACTGAATTCCGAACGCACCTTCCAGACGATATTCATCGCCAACCGTAAAAGAATCTGCAAACTTCATCGCCCGACGTTGATTCATGACCAGGCGGCGCTTTTCGATATCTGTCAGTTCACGCTGATAAGCCTCAAACTGTTTTGCCTCACCGGCAGCCCACAGGGTCAGCGCCTGGGCATCCAGGTATTCAATGACCGTTGCAGGTCCGCAACGCACATCAATCTGTCGAGACAGATAACTGATACGGAGGGCTCGTTCGTAAGGTGCCGGTGCAGTGATTTCTACTTCATCGCCAGCTTGATATTTCTTCGCCAGGGTTGTTTTCAACCATTCAAAATTTTCACCGCAGCCACGCTCTTCAATCCGACTGATCACACGCATGGGCTCAGCGCGCTGATTCAGCATGACAAAGCTGCTGCTGGGCAGATCACGGTAAGGGCGCGGCAGATTAGCCTGAGGAAAGAGCCGCCAGGGGTAGATGGCACCAGGCCTAAGCGTGGGCAGAGTGATGCTGTGATTCACTGGCAGTGACTGTTCAGGGACAATCTTCACTTCCGCACCAAAAGTATCCATAGCCAGCGGGCGGCCGAATTCTGCGCCTAATCCACCATAAATCGGTTTTTCGGCTTGCTCAGCCTGGGCAGGTGAAGAAAACAGGACTGCGAAAACGCCACATAGAACCAGCCCCAGGGTAATAGCGGGCGCACGCATCAACACACAAAATGACCTGCTTCGCGGCGGTTTTTACATTCACGTGTAACGTTGTCACACATGATAGCCATGCCTGGGCTTTGCTCAGTTACCGTATGACACTCGTACATTCTGTCCGCCAGTTCTTCATCGGAGATGGACTCAAATTTGTTTGAGCACCCTGACAAGCCGCCCACCGCAATGAATAGAACCAGACCTGGGAAATTTTTCACTCATGCCCCTTTTTTTAGGAGTAGATGGTTTGTATTAAGAGTAGACCAAGATTTGCGGGTGTCGAACTTCATCTGCAGTCACCCCAGGCAAATACTTACCCATGCTGCAGACCATGCCACTTACCTGAATCGTCCTCTGATGCGAGATTTGATGCGTTCGTTTTTCGAAGTCACCAGTAAGAGAGCCGATATGAAACCCAAGTCAGTCTACGTTCTTGTCATCTGTTACCTGTTAACTGCCTGCGACGGGAGCCCAGCTGATCTGACTGTCCAGGTAATCGCCAGCCAGGTGGAGATTCCGGTATTCAGTACAGCGTGTTTGTACGGTGGGTTCGAATTACGTGAAGGGCTGGATGACAACGCCAACAATCTGCTTGACGCGCAGGAGGTACGCTCAACCCGAATTCAATGTTCCGATGAGGACTCAGTGCAATTGAACACGCAGCTCCTGCAGATCGCAGAGCGCTTGGAACTGACCGGTGATCCATCCCTAGGCCGTCGAGTGCCATCCATTGATTCACCGTTAAGCCAATTGGGTATGCAGCTGTTTTTCAGCAAAGCGCTCAGTGGCGATCAGGATGTTGCCTGTGTGAGCTGCCATCACCCAAACCTGGGAGGCGGGGACGGCTTACATTTATCCGTGGGCGTGGCCGCAGATATACCAGAACTTTTAGGCCCAGGCAGAGTGCACCGCAGTGGCGCTGCAGGGTTTGATGGGGGGCCAACGGTACCGAGAAATGCGCCTACCACGTTTAACATAGGTCTGTGGGATCGCGTTCTGTTCCATGACGGTCGCCTTGAGAGCCTGAGTAAAACCCCAGGTGCTGCCGGCGAAGATGGCCCGGTACGCACTCCAGATGTGCCTTTTGGTGACAGTGACAATCAGGCAACAGGCACCCTGGCCAACGTCCAAGCGCGTTTCCCGGTGACCTCGCCTGAGGAAATGAAAGGTTTTACATTCAGCGCCGGCGGTGACAATCAAGCCCTGCGAGAAGCGCTAACAAGCCGACTCAGAGGAGACACCAATGAGTTGGCGCAAAATTTCTGGCTCAACGCATTTCAGGCAGGGTTTGCTCAAGCAGGAGGAACAGCTGCCGAGCTCATCACTTTTGACAACATTACTCATGCGATTGCGCAGTACGAGCAATCTCAAGTGTTTGTGCAGACACCCTGGAAACAATTTCTCGATGGACAAACTGACGGCATGTCTGCGCAGGCAAAGCTGGGGGCAGTGCTCTTTTTTGGCAAAGCCCAATGCAGCAACTGCCACAGCGGCGACTTTTTCACTGACGAAGACTTTCATGTGGTAGCGATGCCACAAATCGGTCGCGGCAAAGGCGATGGTCCTACGGGTGATGGAGATTTTGGGCGGTTCCGCGAAACCCAGCGAGACCAGGACCGGTTCGCATTCCGCACACCTTCGCTCCTTAATGTCGCCGTTACCGGACCCTACGGGCATGCTGGAGGTTACAATTCATTGAATGACGTCATCCGACATCACGCAAATCCGCGATCAGCAATTGATAATTATGATTCAAATCAGCTGGAGGCGGGCGTGCAGAGTGACAATTTCCGAAGTAACACGTTAGCAGCAGTAGAGCAGCTGGAGCGCCTGCAGGCCAGCAACGAATCAGACCTGGTGAATATTCAATTAACCGATGAAGAGGTGGATTGGCTTGCCACCTTTCTCGATGCGCTGACAGATCCGTGTGTACGTGATAAAAACTGTCTGCAACCCTGGATGCCCGACGAATTCACTTTCGACCCGGATGGCTTAAGACTTGAAGCTGTTGATGAGGAAGGGAACGCGCTTTGAAGCAAAAAGGCTGTTATTGATTTAATAAACAGATAGCAGAGTAGTCTCACTCTGATTTGTCGGGCGAGGAGGGCCGCCTCTTATTGGCGCTGGCTGCAACAGAATCAAGCTTCCGATTCAACGCATCACCCGTACTTTTAATCCAGGGTCGCCCCTCGGCCTCTTCAAAAACACGCTCCTGTAGCGGCCGGAGAATATCATCTGAAGTTCCAGAACTCTCACGGTTACCAAACAGGTTGATCCAGTGTTCTGTACGCCGGCCAAACTCAAGCACGCGCTGAAAATATTGATCTGGTTGAGAGCCACCAAAAATCAAACCGAACAAAGCGCTGAACATAGAGATTGGCAGCAATATCAGATCTCTAAAGCCATCCACTGCAAGCTTTCCCTGGAAGACCAGAACGTCCCATAACAACTGCAGCCTCGAACGAGGCAAGTTGTCTTGCTCCGCAGATTCGTCAATGTCTTCCTGATTCATCATACCCTCACAACCCTCAGGACTGATTTTCTATCGAGAACCTTCGCCAACCAGAACAACCTCAACAGTCTGCAGCAGAATAATCATGTCCAGCAGGATACTGTGGTTTTTAACATAATACAGATCGTACTGGAGCTTTTCCTTTGCATCCTGGATGGACGCGCCGTAAGGGTAACAGAGTTGCGCCCAACCGGTGATGCCGGGTTGCATACGATGCCGCTCTTCGTAATAAGGAATTGTGGCATTCAATTCCTCAACAAAAACCGGTCGTTCCGGACGTGGCCCCACCATGCTCATGTCACCTTTTATGACGTTAATCAGCTGGGGGAGCTCATCAAGATGAGAGCGACGTAAGAAAGCACCTACCCGGGTGGTCCTCGGATCATTGTATTCAGCCCACATGGCGCCACTTTCTTCGGCATCCACCTGCATGGTTCTGAACTTAATGACAGTAAACGGCGTGCCATTTTTGCCTACCCGTTGTTGCCGATAAAAAAGCGGGCCTTGGAATTTGTCGCATATCAAAATGGCAATGCCTGAAAGCAGCATAATGGGCAAAAACACGATAAACAGAACAGAGGCAACAGCAATATCAAAAGTCCGTTTGACTAAAGCCCGGTACCAGTTGGTGACAAAGCCGTCTGAGTAAACCAACCAGGACCTCTGCAGCAGATCGACATCAATTTTACAGGCTTCCCGCTCTATGAAATTCTGCACTTCACAGATGTCTACACCAGAGAGCCTGCAGTCCATCAGTTCTTCAAAAGGTATACCAGGAGCGTTGTCTCCATCGGCGCGCCGGTCATCTGCGGCCACCACAATTTGATCCACATCGTTGACCTGACAGTACTCGGAGAGACCTGCCTCAGGATAGGCAATGACATTGGCGCCAAACTCCGCGATCAGATTCGGCGTACCTTCCTGCTGCATAAAACCTTCGAGCACAAAGGCGCGCCGATCAGAACGACGACGCATTCTGCTCGCCACTTTGACTGCCCGCTGTCCGGTGCCCAGAATAAGTACCCTGGATTTCATGAAGTCTTCGTCGATAAAATTTGACGTAATCCATCGCAACGCAGCGACTAACAGAAAACCTTCGATGCTGGCAAACAACAGAACTCCGCGACCGAGAACAAGATCAGGAAACAAAAACAGAACCAGCGCCATGCCGATGGTCCCGAGCAGGAACACAGCAACAGCGGTACGTAACATGACACCAACGTACCCCTCGCGCAGACGCGCTTCGTAAACCCC